ACCGGTTGTTTTGATAGTGCTGCATTACAACAAAGGCTCTGCTTAGAGACACAGGGGAAATAAAAACTAGATTTTCATTTGATCCCTGTGTTCAAATATCTGTTTTTGTGTGGTCTAAAGAATATTTTGTTAGAAATACAAAATAATTCATAATAATTAAACATGTTCCCGTTTTTTTTTTTTCTGTTTATTTTCATGGCTCTGTTGTTTAAGTTATATTGATAAACATTTTTATTTTTTTTTTTTTTTATTAGATGTTTTTGGTTTCGTCAGTGTGGGCATGTGCGGGTGGAGGGAGGGAGGGGGGAGTGTAGTGAGTGTACTGTGATATTACAATATATGAAATGGCATTGATTATTGTAAACTATAATGAAATAAAAAGACTTGTGAAAAAAAAAGAAATTGCGAATAAATCACGGCCAACAGAACATTTCACCCCCCCTCTCTGTCCATGCGAAACCCAAGTGAGCAGGTGATGTTAGCCAGGTTACTAACTCCACCCTCAAATGGTAAATGGACTGTACTTATTTAGTGCTTTCTCCAGTCTTTAAGACTCCTCAAATTGCTTTACATGCTACATGTCATTCACCCCTTCACACCCATTCATACAGAGCAGTGTACCTTACTCTAGGAACCAACATTCACACACACTCACACATCGCTATCGGGAGCAACTCAGGGTTAAGTATCTTGCCCAAGGATACATCGACATGTTGGCTGCATGGGCTGGGATCGAACCCACAACCTTCTGGTTGAAAGACGACCGCACTCGCCACAGTCGCCCAAAAACAAACAATATACCACATGAAAAAATAAGAAAACAAATAGACCTTGCATTCTGCACCTACACTCCCCGTAGCCAGGACTAGTGTTTGCATTTGCCGTATATTTATAGAGAAACAAAAAGCTCCCACAACATGGAGTCAAAGAAACTATCTGCAGCCGAGTTTAATGAGATACTTTCCATGTAACGACAGAAATCAATTTTTAGAGCTCATAACTGCTTCTACAATGTCAGCAAACATGGCAGCAACCCTACCACACACCACTCAGCGTGAACATCTGTATCAGGAACAAGTTCAGTTGCGGTGGACGTGAGCTTTACTCTAAACTCAACACTCTGATCCCGAGGCAGTGCTGTTTCTCTGCTCAGGTTTGAAACATTTAGCCAATTTGAATAATGCGAGTGGTATCGCTGCAGGTCGAGGTGAAAGTCAGCAAGCCCTCCAAAACAAACTCCAGGCTGTTTATAATTACAATTTCAAATTAGCAAAGGTTCAACCGTTTAATACTTTTTATGTCTGAAACAACACGTAAAGGTCACAAAACAGCGGATCTTATTTTAGTAGGCTTAATTTATGATAATGTTCTGTGCTGTTGAATAATGTTTACTTTGAGGGCAAATTAATTCAATTAAAAAAAGTTCAAATATTTACCCATTAAAGTTGTGTCGGTTTCACCCTCAGATAACTCCTGTGTGCATTAACATTGGACTCTTGGCTGAGCTCCAGGAGAGCAGCTTGAGATGGAAAGGATCTTTTATTTTCTAGCTTTTGGCTGTTTGCACTTGTCAACTTGACACCGTTTCTCCACACGTGCTTGCCAAAGAGAAATGGTTTTATTCCTTTTGCTGCCAAAGTGGAGGTGGACACGGATACTGTCAAACATAGATTTTAGTATAAAAACTTCTGTTACACCATAACATCCCTAGTTCATATGCAGTGTAAACCAGTTACGTGTAGTTACAGGTAACAAGTTCAGGTACTTAGTCAAGTCAAAACTCAAAGTCAACTTTATTGTCAATCTCAAAATGTGTTTGTACACACAGAAAGATCGAAATACTGTTTCCCACAGTCCCAAGGTCGAAAATAACACGTTCAAATACAAGAACACTCAATAATGAAAAAAACCCACAAAATAACAGTTTACTTCAAGTAGGATATAAATTTAAAAAATGATGGGCATAGTGCAAATGAGTGCAACATATTTCCATAGCAGCACTTAGTTGTTTCACCATTGTGTTTGTGTTGCCTACGGTTGGGTTTATTCAGAAACCATTTGAGAGCAACACAAGAGGACGATCTTTTCCGAATCAGACGCCATTGTGTGCAGGGTTCCCGCGGGGTCTTAAAAAGTCTTAAATTTGATAATCTGAATTTAAGGCCTTAAAAAGGTCTTAAATATGAACAAAAAAATAAGAAAGGTCTTAAATATGATGTAGAAGGTCTTAAAAATGATCCGATTTGAAAGATACTTCTGTTTTGGGATCGCGTCTAAATGTGTTTTGGGGGAAATGTCCGGGCTGCAAAGTAACCAGTACGATAAGAGCCTTTCAGTTCCCCCCAACAATTTGTATTGAAATAAATCAACATGGAACTAGTAATCACTAACTTTGTTTCCCCCGGCCCCTTATCGGAGAACACCCAGCTAGTAACTTAGCAACCAAGCTTCAGTTAGCGGCAGTCAGAAACTCAGGTATCTTCGAATCTACTTACAAATAAATATGGGGAAGTGTAAGTTCAACCGTATTTGGTTGGAAAAAATTGAATTTAGTGCTTGGTTGAAACCAGTGGAGGGGAACGTGTTTGAAGCCCGCTGCACCTTTTGCAAAAGAAATTAGCGTTTGTTTTGCTAATGTAGCATTAGCTAGTGCAGCAGCTCCCGCAACAACACCGGGGGACCTCCGGGCGACGTTTGGGTCTACGTCAACCCTAAAAGCGGAGGTGCTGTTGACGCTAAACACCAAACATACAACAGCAACGATGAAATAGTACGGAGCCCTGGAGGGTTCATAGAGAG